ACTGAATCAATATCTCCGCCACACAGAAAGATCCTCCAAATATATACTCCTGCTTGAAGTGGGTGATGAGAGAGGGCAGGACAGGTATAACGATGAAACACAGGTCACAAAGTGCGATGTGTCGGATGAAGGTGACAGTGGTTCGACCCATCTGGAAAGTGCGGTAAAAGTAGGAGGCGTAGATAACGAAGGAGTTGCCGAGTGTCCCGAACAGGATAACGAAGATGTAGTACGACACCTGCAGCACGTGAAGCGTGTGGGAATGGAGGAACTTTGCCATTTTCACTGGAGAACAGTGAAGTTATATTTTAAGTTATCGTCGGAGTTTGGGATAAATGTATTGTAACGTGGGATTATCGTTGTGTTGAGATATTATAATTGGATTTAAAAAATGGCGACAACAGTCAAATTATAACGGAAACGAAAAGCCAAAACTGCCAGACTGATGAACGAAACATATCACCAGAAAGAGATCATATCAAGATATCTATCTTAACGAGATCAGAGAAACAAAGAGAAAAATTTGTCCGAAGAAGAAAATAATTAGAGCGGCACTGTGTAAAATTTATTAACTGAAGTTAACCAAGAACTGTCCAACAAGATAAGTGTGACGTTTTATATAATTTGTCAGGACACAAGTTTATCCTGACAAATTTATATCAGAGGTTAATTAACTCACGTTTTACAGTGGAATACACCTCGGAAATAAAATGACAAGTTGGGAAATAAACAGAAAAAAATTACGATATTTATTACAGAAAATTTGGCCAGTAACGTAATTATTGGTGAATGGTGATTGCGGTGATGAGTAATGGTTTAGGAAGAAATACAAATAGTCGGTTTAGAATACCACAAATTAGAATTACTGCACCGCGATAATCAGCACGAAAGGTTGAAATTGCTGTAAACCCAATTAGTTAGTTGTAATGTACTAATTCCCAACCTCAGACAGTACGCAATGGTAATTGTTATTTTGAAAAGTCAGCTGTATTTGATACAATACGTAATTGGGTTGGCAATATGATGTATGCTATGTCCCTGGTTAACGTAGGTGTTTCATTAATTAACTTTAATTAAGATCCCAATTAATTAATTAAGATCCTGGAGAATATCTCGCGATCACTAACCTACCTGCTTAATTGTAAATGAAAAGTAGCGGATAAAAATTAACAATTTAGCATTAGTGTACGTAACGGTCAACACTAGATGGGTGGTTGAAACATATCCTTTTGACACGTGACAGAAATTAACCAATCAGCTTCGACTATTAAACAATCAAACCCCAGATTCACTGTCACCTGTCAAAAAACTATACCTCACCTCCCCATCAGAATACACAACTTTAAACTCTGTAGACAGTGTTTGTCTGCGAAGGCCCCGTACAGACTGCACATATTTTATAAACTTACCCCGTTTCCGAAAAACAAATACTCCGTGATGAGTCGGGATTTACCTTATTATTCTATATTCATGGCTTCATATTCAGTTGAGTCGTATTTTAACAACCGGTGAAACCCCTCAAAACTTGGAAATCATGATGTATTTGAAAATAACAATAGTTTTACTGCATCATAATATATTTATATATATATATATTTATAAATACTCAGAAGCTTGACTCTCCCGGACAGAAAGAAGAATAACAGCCAACAGTAACAACAGTAACAACAGTAACAACAGTAACAACAGTAACAACAGTAACAACAGTAGCAACAGTAACAACAGTAACAACAGTAACAACAGTAACAACAGTAACAACAGTAACAGCAGTAACAGCAGTAACAACAGTAACAACAGTAACAACAGTAACAACAGTAACAACTGTAACAACTGTCACAACAGTAACAACAGTAACAACAGTAACAACTGTAACAACTGTCACAACAGTCACAACAGTAACAACAGTAACAACAGTAACAACAGTAACAACAGTAACAACAGTAACAACAGTAACAACAGTAACAACAGTAACAACAGTAACAACAGTAACAACATTAACAACAGTAACAACAGTAACAACAGTAACAACTGTCACAACTGTCACAACAGTCACAACAGTAACAACAGTTACAACAGTAACAACAGTCACAACAGTAACAACAGTAACAACAGTAACAACAGTAACAACAGTAACAACAGTAACAACAGTAACAACAGTAACAACTGTAACAACTGTAACAACTGTCACAACAGTAACAGCAGTAACAACTGTAACAACAGTAACAACAGTAACAACAGTAACAACAGTAACAACAGTAACAACAGTAACAACAGTCACAAAAGTAACAACAGTAACAACAGTAACAACAGTAACAACAGTAACAACAGTAACAACAGTAACAACAGTAACAACAGTAACAACAGTAACAACAGTAACAACAGTAACAACAGTAACAACAGTAACAACAGTAACAACAGTAACAGCAGTAACAACAGTAACAACAGTAACAACAGTAACAACAGTAGCAACAGTAACAGCAGTAACAACAGTAACAGCAGTAACAACAGTAACAACAGTAACAACAGTAACAACAGTAACAACAGTAACAACAGTAACAACAGTCACAAAAGTAACAACAGTAACAACAGTAACAACAGTAGACACTCTGGCCCTGTATAGACCACATACACTTGTAACCAAATATTAAACAGTTGGTCATATTCTTTAACCAATGTTGTAACATTATTGAACTGATGTGACAAAATGTATTAAACTGTAAATAAATAAATGAATAGCTATAGATCCTACGTCAATGTGGTCAGTGCATGGATAAATACTGAGAATTCCTATTTAATTTTATTTAAAATAAAGTAAACAAATAAAACCAATAAACTGAACAATCTTAATTAAGTTATTTATGACTTGATCTTAATTTCAAATCAGGCTTAACGGTGTTAAACAAACTAATTGTATGACGCCCCGGGCTTCTAAATCTAGTAGTATTAATAATTTATCAAACTCAAAGCTAAAGCTACAGGCAGTAACCACAACATTGTTCGTCCAGATAAGTCTTCTCGATCAGTAAGTTTATTAAGGTCTTACAATTCTTGTAAAAGTTATCGTTGGATATGAAATGCAGCCACTTGATGTTGAGCATCAATCTTAAGGGCTTCTTCTCAAAGTTTCAAATACAAGTTTGGGAGCAGACCATGAACACAACCATAGAAAAATTTGACAGATTCAAATAATAATTTGCACTTTTAAGAGATACGTCTGAAACACACGTTGTTAACGTTACAGAATGCAATATTACCCAAGTGTCCTTGGTGCTAAACAAGTAAATAGCGGAGAGCCTAAAAGTTTGCTAAATCTTGAACTACTGTAATTAGTTAATGATACTACTGTAACAGGTAACTAATAATTATACGTGCAATATTAATTTCCATAAAGACAACCAGGAGTTTTCAAGATCTCTCAGCAGCACTATCTTAAAGCTAACACAACTGATGTTGAAATATACAACATACTATAAACTAGTATAAGGTTGTGGAATTATAATGTTAAATGAAAGGATGTGAGACAAGGAAGCCGGGAAAGTAACAAAATAACGTCACCAGGCTTTCCTATATTATCATAAAAGTTTCTTTTCAAACGGAAACCCCTTTAGTTGTAATCTTGATATTAAACAAAGTAAAATCTGTCAGAATGTGCACTGCTCGGTGGGCAGGGGGATTAAACAGTGACGGGCACTAAACATGTCAATCACTTTCAAATTTGAGACAGGTATGTTAGTGGTATGTTGATGGTATGTTGTTGGTATGTTGATGGTATGTTAAGTAAAAGTTAATATATAATATTTGATAGTGTACAGGGTTCCAGAGAGCCGTACTGGGGTTATTATATCTGGATATAATATGTAATTCCCAGCTACTTTATTCGCATATTTGAAGACAGATAGTTCGATCCTGTAATCAATCCATCGCTAAGTCGGAAAGAACTCTTTGGTCTTCTTGAGGAATGTTGGGGGGGGGGGGGGGTGACACGTCCGCCAATGTAGTGACCCCCCCCCCCCCCCCCCCTTATATAGTGACGATGCCTTACTATCTGATCACTGCTCCGTCTGTATAATATTAATCAACATATTATATATTGATATAATATTAATCAACGGTACATGATCCGTTGATGATTTCAGTAATCACCACTACAAATATTGGTCCAAACGTTGTGGTAAATATAATATTAAATATATTCTAGTAATTAATTTGATGCACGAAGTAAAAAAACTGAAATATATGGTATGTACAGAAACTGTATTCTTTATTTTAGGGTAAATTTGGAGATGAATTTGAAGTATAGGACTGTGTGTATTTTTAAATTTAGAATTATAGAAGCAATGTCAATAATTACCATCTGCGATTAAAAATATGTAAGCAGTGGACACTTGCTTCCCGGTTCGAAGTTTATTCGTATTTAATTAAGGGCTTGGACAATGGAAACGAGCGTGATAACGAGGTTTCCATTGTCTTAACAGGTTCTAGCTCCCGAACCTGCCCGGTATCAAAATGACCCACCTCTCGATCGGGTAAACTGTCACTCACCTATCCCAAAAAGCTAACCCTCTTTTCCTCTCACCCTCGATAGTCTAAACAATATTCCACTCCCTGTTAGCAATCTCTCAACAATCCCCCACTATCCCGTCGATAGCCACGCCATTGTCCGCAGCTAGCCACAACATCAGCTAGTAATTCTAGCCCTCTCTGAACAGTCCCACAAAGCACCTCGTACTAACCCAAAATACTACCGTCACATACTGGATACCACGACCGCCTTATTATAATCACTACCTTCATATTACACAATATTACCCTAAATTCATCTCGATTGATCACGGTTTACAAATATATCCAAATTGTCCCGCCCTGACCTTAGCCTTACGGTTCGTACAGGACGTCTCTACGCTTGCTATAATTCTTTACATTGTAAAACCCTTACTTTTTACAGTGATTAGTAGTACAGTGATTAGTATCCTGACGACCCTTTAAAATGAATGTTGTACCTAGAAGATGTCGACACGAAGTATACAGGCTGTGGAGCTAATGATCGTCTGCTTTTTGCGCTGCTTCGTCTTCTGCTGGGAGTCCTGACAAATGCAGCCATTAACCATCAGCCGAGTATTGGAATGTGTCATTATTTCACTTTGTTGTTATTATATTTCCTAGCTTTATGTACTGAGACCAATGACGATAGATGCAAAACTAACTGTAGATTTAACCAGTAACCACATACGATGGGGCAGGAGAGGGTATTCCTAGTGAGGTCCAGTAGTCAGTTTTAGAGTTCTCCTCCCAACACAACGCGCCCTCTTCTCCCTCAGAGTCATCCTCGCTCGACCTTAATAGTGGGGAGATTGTGATGGTGAGGTAGTTTACATCCTGACTATTGTTTAACAAATCGCAATATCACAGCGGATACGTTGCTCCGAAATTAGGTCTACTCTATGTTAGGTTACTTCCACTGCACCAGGCAGAAAAGCCGGAAATTAAGCGGTTTTAACTATAATAATGTCGGGGGAATGTTGAGGGGAACTATAATAATTTCCGGGGAATGTTGAGGGGAACAACTTACTCGTCTGAACCGTCGGCCACTTGCGCCGGTCTCCAATTCTCCCTCGAATATGTCGGCTTCTTTTCCGCTTTTATCGCGTCTTCCTGTCACAGAAATGCAGGTTTTTAATTCTTTCTAAGAATACGTTTTATAAACGAGACAAGTGGCGGCGTGTCACATCTCGTAAAGCATGAATCCTCTTTCTTAATTTCTAAATCTTATTTAAACTTTCGTTATATATGAGCATAGTACTAATCCTGGAGATGGAGCAGGCATTCATAGATAACTGGCCGATCTATTGATTTAGACATTGCATGACAGTTGCTTCTGTATAAAGTCAGCGTGTCCCTTTGCTTAACATGCTCTGTACAAGTGAAATAGCAATAACGTTACTAGTATCAGGAACATGGCCGTTTAAAATGACTTTTGAAACACTTTTAAAACACTCAAATTTTGTAGTTCAGCAGAAGGTTTCTTTATTTTCTTCGGAAATTAGGTGTACAGTATGGATTATATTATAAACTCAAAGTGGCAGTCCAGCTTCTGTTTACAATTCTCTGTGTGATTGTGCAGACCGAGACCGCCAGTGTCTGCTGCCCATTCATCAATGCTTATTAGCAATTCAATAGGTGCACAGTAGAGTATCCATTAAATAATTGAGGGATTTGAATTTACGAGGGTTACATAATGAACAACCCATTTTTGTGCTTCAAAATAGTAATTTGTGATACAAATGGGAGTTGGTAAATTTCATGATAGAGTAAAAAACCGAGCAGATTCTCAAAGACAATTATTTTGTTTATTTGAAATCACTCGCCACAAACATTCGCAAGCTCAACAGCTCGGTTGCTAGTGCGATTGTGGTCAGATGTAGATCTACTTTGCGTAAAACTGGCCATTTTGTAAAACTGACCATTAGTTGCCTGTTCAAGTATTTGCAAAGACAAAACATCACGTTGAGATTAGTTTACGGGTCAGGTTTTACAAATTATAACTTATCCGAACTTCGGATGCAGACATTTTAAAAACTTAAATCACAACACATCTGCTCGCATGGATTTTCAAGGGAATTAGTTTTACACCAGTAAAGTTAAACTGAGTGATTCTTTCAGATCATTACTACCAGCGTCCAACAAAAAGGCAAGTTGCCATAGTTCCATCGGGAATAAAAACTAATCAGGTTTGTAGGATTGTAGGGGACACTTATAAGTGGTAGGAATGATCCAAAAATCCATCATGACATTTAACATCTTTATAGGTACACACCTTAGCCTTCTGTTCGGACTTGATAACATCGAAGAAGTTACTCCCGGACTTTACAACCGCCATTCTGTTTCTCCCTTCGTTCAACTCGTGCCTTATTATCATCTCGGCTTTACGGCAGTATGGTTCTTGTTTTTCCGACACGTCTTTTAACTAACAACAATTATTAATAATTTAATAACATTGAAAATTAAGAATCACCATTGTAAAAAAATTGTCAGAGGAAATGTTTAGTAAGGTTAAGTAGTTAAATGTTTACCTTAAAGGATTTGCGCTCTCGTCTTTTGTGTTGTCCCATGTTTTTTATTTGCTTCGAGGTATCCTTTGAATAATCCTAAATGATCGTTATTCATATTATGGTATCTACGTCTTTAAGAGTAATTTAAAATCCTTTCGGTTCCAAAGCTAGACAATAAACTCCCCCGTATAAACTTGATCTTTGAAAGAATATGAGCCAAATGTTTCCAATCGGAAACCACAATCAATCATGCTTTTTTTTAATGTTAAGAGTTCTGCTTCTTACATTCTCTTGCCTTCTTTGCAGTTTTGCAAACTTAAAATAGCAGTGTACTATCACCAATTGTGGCGCTGAAAACATCATGAACAAATCTCGTAGGAGGTTAAGATTAAGTGAAGCTACGAACATTTAAGGAAGGATCTTGCTGGTCCAGAGTTCTGAGTAGGAGCATTCTTGTGTCGAGTTCTACGTCCCCCACAGGCCGGTACGGTTTAGAGATATCGGACCAGTAGCCACACTTCTTCACCTGTTAAGCAAATCAAATCATAAATATCATGATCTGTCAAACGATCATTATAGCACTATTTTACTATAGTGCCAATCATCATTGTTCATCATCATTATTATGTGACATTTATTTCAGATAATTATATAATATACATAATACCTATAAGTAAGTATAAATAACAGAAACTGCTTAAATGAGCAATTATTGCAATCATTCAACATGGTATCAGTATTACAAGTTCTAATGTCAACATTTTCCACAACAATTGCAAGTGAATTGTTTTAACTAATTCACAGCAGCACAAATTATAGACTTATAAACATAGAGAGAATTAATACCTGGAACTGTCTCCTGTCATAGTTATCTTTAAATATTTGGTCTCTTGGTCGATCAGCACACGAGTATTGTTGTTCAGATCTGGTCATTGTTATTGTAAGTAATGACCAAACAATTGATTTGAAATGAGGGTTAATTTCTGATCTGTAATTGAAATATGAATAAAGGAATTCTTATAAATAGGTGTATTATTCATACATAAAGTTGAATAAATTGATAACTACCTGGTTCTGATTTTATAGCCTTTTTGTGACTGGATAGCAAGTGGTTTGATTTTAATGAACAGCTTTGGTTCGACTTGGAATCCTTTACTCGTCCAAGGCAGACCAGATGATCTATATACGTGTGTCATTCCCTACACTAATAAACGATTTTATATTTCATTTCAAATACCAGTAATAACAAGACAAATTTAAAGTATTGTAGGTATGTCAATATATCTGACCAAGCAAGTCTATCAGTAGTAGGAGTCTCAACCTGGCTTTTAGCAAACTCCCGTTGTAGAGTGGAGGAAAGAAGGCACATGACGTCCCTAAATGACGAAAGCATAAAATATAATTTGATGCTCTTTAAAGAAATGTTTAGTGGTGACAGATCTGTATCCTTGACTATTTAACCTATGGGATTGTTCCATGAATGGCTAATAACACTGGTAGTGCGCTCACACACTTCTACAATGATCTTACAAAGAAGAAGATTCGGACAGGCAACATCCCCAATAATTGCAGCATTTCTCTGAAAGGTGTTCAAGTGATTTTACCTAGGGACCTTACCACAATTGTGTAATGCGTTTGCGAGGAAAGCTAAAACGTGCGTTATTAACTAATCAACATAACCACGCCCTGCTTGATTGGACCGTAAGAGATTTTGACTGCATATATGTTATTTTCCAAAAATTATAACTGGCTGGTCACACAAATCTCAACTAAATTCCCCTAGGCTAGTGTTTTCCAAGTCTTGTCCTGTGAGTAACCCTTTAGTTCCATAGGCAAATAATACAGTGGCAAAATTTGCCCAAATTTTATTTGCGAAATAAAATTATACGGGTGACCTGTTCCATGGAGTATATTATTTGAGTGAGAAAAAATTAATACGTGAACGTTCACGATTTCTTTTAGCTCAATTAATTGATTGAATCGAAAAGAGAGAGTCAAAAATTCGGACTAACGTTTCGGTGTGGGCAAAAGCTTTCAGGCCCGCACATTTCTTGCCACTTTAGTTGCCTGTCCGATTACAATACCCAATTAACAGCTTCAAGGACATGACAGAAAGTCATACACCAAATGAGCATTACATTTTTATTGTTATAAATTTAGTCTGTAAAATGTGCTAAAATGTAATTTCTTGTTTCATTGAAAATTTCTTGTTTCATTGATTTCGAAAAACGATGGGGATATTTCAAGGAAAACCAAAAATGGATAATGTGACATGTCCATGATGCTGAGTGCTCGTTTCGTTTCGACGGCAAATATATGTGAAAATGAATGAATATACATTTGTTGTTTTCTTGAACTATAATATCAAATATAAGTTAGGAAAACAAGTTTTAAATTTTAAATTACTGCGGCCGCGCTCAGCCTGTCATTCCGCCGAATCTCTATATAATTATATGTTTATGAACATAATAGCCTGAGGTCCCCAGGTAAATTTTAAGTTGCAAATATAATACAATATAAATTTGGTTGGCAATTGTAGCGCAATGCACTACTGGGCTGCGTCGCGCTTTAAATAATTGTTCTCGCAACCAATGCAATTATTTCTTTTTGCAACCAATCTTCTCATGTAAATCGGCAAAATGTAATATTGCGCCTTGCCAAGCTGCGAATGATTGACATCGTGAATCAAATTAGCAGTTTTATTTGTGTTCATTATATTTACTTTTTATTTTCATTGGCAATATTTTGAACAATTGTATTTTAAATACAATTGTTAATAATACTATAACACCTTTGCTTCTGAGTGCTGATACAATATAGTGTCTAATATATAGTGCCCTTGTAACACGAATGTATCCTTGTAACACGAATGTCATCTTTTACTGTGGCGCCTTCATCATCTGTCACTAAGGTGTGCCATATATGTAATGTCAAAGCAACTAGAGGATTTTTGTGTCTTGGGCCATGTAAACAGTGGTACCATGTTAAATGTGCTGAACTTAAGAAAAGAGAAGGAGAGGTGTGTAAAACATGCAACGAGAAAACCAATTGTGACAATGCAAAGCCCACTGCATCTGATGTATATGTAAATGTAAATAAATGTAATCAGTATGATGTAAATAAAACCAAAGACGGTGTAAACATACACAAAGAACCCGATGATAATGCAATCCTTTGCCCAATATGCAGCACAACAGCTGATCGTGGAGGGGATGTTGTTGGATGTGATGGTGTTTGTGGAAAATGGTTCCACGTTACATGCCTTGCACTTTGCAGAGGGCGATCAAGCAGTTTGTGAGGGATATTGGTACTGTTCCTCATGTTATGGTAAAGAGGCTTTCCCTGGCTTCCCAAGTTTTGTGAAGACAGTTGACTCAGCACCCGCAACATGGGGTTTGCTCAAGGGGCATGTTATTAAAGAGACATTTGGCAATGCCTATGATGAAATAATCAAGTGGAAGAAAAACCTGTTCAAGGTTCCTTCTGGTGCTCAAGGTAAAGCTTATGTGAAAGCGACCTCTAAAGTCATCAATTACTATGTTAACAACTCCCCCCTTCAAAATGTAGCCATGACTGCACTTATGGTTATGCCAGCCCTGCTCCTCCAAAAACCTTCCAAACGATCCAAAACAAAGGACCACGTCAGATATTTTGAAGATCGCCTCAAACTTTGGGAGAAAGGCGACATCAAGGGCTTTATCAAGGAAGGTAAAGCTATTCAGAAGCGTTTAACATCAAGCAAGTTTACTCCCCAACATACCCACAAAGTATTCTCTAAGCTTATGAGTGAAATTAGGAGATAAACTCTAGAAAAAAATGTTAAGTTAAAAATATTCTAATCCCGCACAACACGTTTTTGTGCAGCGTGCGGGATTAGAATATTTTTAACTTAACATTTTTTTCTAGAGTTTATCTCCTAATTTCACTCGGATGGTCGGATATCTATTTTTTAACAAAGAAAGTATAGGGAGTTATGACTTTAAGATTGTAAAAGTCATGAGTTAAATTATTAGTAAGTACTTTTTCTTTTTTAAAGTAGGGGGAATGTTAGAATCTTAATCCTATTTGTAGCTTGTTTTTGTACTTCATATTACTAACCCTGTATCTCACTTTAGCAAAGGTTTAGTTCCAGTGATTGTATATACAGTGTTGGGGTAAAGGGAATCCAGAAGGCAGACAAGGCTCGACTCCAGACTCTAGTTGAAGTAACAGAAGAGAGAGGAGTGTCCAGTGTTTAGTTGACTCCAGACTCTAGCGAAGCAGAAGGGAGAGGAGTGACGTTGTTGACTCCAGACTCTAGCGTAGCAGAAGAAAGAGGAGTGTCTAGTATTTTAGTGATCCCACAGATTCCGGTCGACAGATACTATCTGTGTTCTGTGACGTGGAAAGAGTGGTAAGTAGTTTATAGTTATAGTTTAGTAGTTTAGTCTAGGAGTTCCTGCTTCCTCTTTCACTTTCATTATAGTTTCACGTGGTTTACCTTTCACTTTACTCACGGTTGTTTTCCCCCAGGGTTTTGTTTTATAGTTATCAGTTCCAGTTTTAGTTGAAGTCCTCATCATTCAGAAGTCCCTCATATATAGTAAGAAGAACATCATCATCAGGAGTAGTAGTTTTAATTTAATAGTTGTTTAATCTAATAGTAAAAAGACATTATTTAGTTTAGTATTGAAATGTGTATTAGTTAGAGCAGTGTGAGTAACTGAGTCACACCAATCACCTTTTAATCACTCATTCACTATTTGAGAGTGAGTACATAGAGTAACAAGGTTACATTTGACACACCATTTATTTGTATAACCTCTTTATTCATCTAATTTGTATTTATAATAATTGAGTATTATTTGTTATTTAAATAACCCAAGAACAAGGTTCCAACACTTATCAAGGAAGGTAAAGCTATTCAAAAGCGTTTAACATCAAGCAAGTTTACTCCCCAACATACCCACAAAGTATTCTCTAAGCTTATGCTTCAAGGAAAAGGTGTCAGCAGCACTCAGATGGGTGACAAATAAAGCTGGGGGCCTCCTAGAACCAACACCAGAAACTATCAAGTTGCTAGAGAGTAAACATCCTGACCCACAGCCTGAAGAATCTTTCCTTGTAAGCAGTCTACTCAGCAATGTTGGCTTGGAAAAAGTAGACAACGTTATATTCGAGAACATAGATATTGAAGCAATCCAGAAGGCAGCAAAGAACACCAATGGATCAGCTGGCCCATCTGGCCTAGATTCCGATGGTTGGCAACGTATCCTTTGCTCTAAGTCATTCAAGACGTGTGGTGCTGAACTATGCGAATCAGTTGCCCTACTAACCAGGAAACTCTGCACTGAATTAGTTGACCCTGATCCCCTAGCAATGTTCATATCTTGCCGCCTTATTCCTTTGGAAAAGAAACCTGGCGTTAGACCAATAGGGATTGGTGAAGTCCTCCGCCGAATAATCGGCAAGTCAGTTACTACTCTGCTCAAACCAGAGATCCTAGCAGCCACTGCACCACTTCAAGCGTCAGCAGGCCTAGAAGGTGTAGTAGAAGCTGCTATTCATGCTCTTAGAACCATGTATGAAGATGAAGACACTCATGGTATCCTTCTTGTTGATGCAGATAATGCCTTCAACCGTTTAAACCGGAGAGTTGCCCTCCACAACACAAGTGTGATGTGTCCCGAGCTGTATAAATATCTTGTTAATACCAACAGAAAAGCAGCGAAATTGTACATACCAAACTCCGAGGGTTTGTTTATTTTATCCCAAGAAGGTACTACTCAGGGGGACAACTGTGCTTCTGCATTTTACTCCTGTAGCCTGATGCCCCTTCTGGACAAACTCCCCACAGAGCCACCAGATATTTCTCCTGTGGTCTTTGAGAACACAAAACCACCCCAGAAACCTCCTGAGGAGCACAATAAGATTAAGACACCACCAGATATAACTCCAGATAGGACCCCAGAGGTTAATAAGCCCACCAACAAAGCTGCTAAACACATATATGGTTTGCAGATGATTCTGGAGCAGCAGGAAGGCTTAAAGCCCTGAAGATTTGGTGGGATTCCCTACAGGCATCTGGCCCTGTTTACGGCTATTTTCCCAAACCGTCCAAGACCTGGCTTATTGTTAAAGAGGAGTACCAAGAGGAAGCCAAGTCTCTCTTCCCCGACCTTAACATCACCACCGAAGGTTGTCGATACCTGGGTTCCTTTATAGGTACAGAG